CAATGTATTAATTTTAGTTAGTTGGTTATGTATTTTTTAAATAAAAAAAAAATTTTGAATTTACTTACTTGTAGCCGAAGTTAGAGGCGGTTGGATACTTATGACCGCTACTGTACATGAGAAAGGGCCGGTCGGCTACATAAAAAAAATGAAACTAATAAAAGATATTGGAGTAGCAGGTTGTTTCAAGGGATGAATGCCTATCAAGCTCCAACCTATATAATGGCAGTTCCTTCCCCACTACTCCGCATTATTATCTAAACTACCACTAAATTCTTTACTATCTACCCATCTCATAATTGACATTACTATTCTAAACTTTGGATCCCCTTCGCCATAATAAAAACTTTTTACAGGATGTTTAATGAAAAAATAATGGTGGCTTAGATCAGTTTACAATCAATCAGAGCTGGGGATAATCCTGGAGATAGTCCAGGAGATTGTGCTACAATACGGTTTATTGCATGGCGCAGTAAATTACACACATTCATAAATTTAAAAATCATTCGAAAAATATTCATTATTATATTTTTCATAAAGTAAGACAGAAGGGGCCGGCCGGCGAAGTAAAAAATGAAGATAGAGAGCGTTTATTTATTTGATAAGCGTACACAAGTTAAAAATAAATGATAAGCATATACGCTGTTTTTATTTGTGGAATGATAACTCAAAATATGGAAAAACTTCGGCAAGTGTGAACAGGCGATCACACGAGGGTAAAATTTGAAATCAGAAATGGCGCAGTAAATTTCACTGGCCCGCTTTTAAAACTTTAGCTATTACATTCTTTAACAAACCTATTACTTAGTCAATTGTGACTTCGTATTTTGATAGCATTTTGAAGAAATAATATTAGGAAGCCATGTCATATGTTTCGATTATTTAATCGATTTTTCTCAATTTTAATATGCCAAAAATACTTTGAAATCAATAAAAATTTACCCAATTGAACTTTATTTTTTGGTGTGCATAAATAAGCATACGTAAATAAGCATACAGCGAACCCCTATAATAATTTGTTCAAAAAATATATTTAAAAAGTCTAATACAAAAAAACTAATCCAGTCCATAATATCACATGAAGATCATATACTCAGCTAGAAAACAACTAGCTCCTCTTCTTCCAAAATACATCTAACCAGTATAAATCGTGAGATTTATCCAACAACGCATAAGCTTCTGCCCCAGGTGGACCTTCAATTGTTGAATTCATTGAGGGTTGATAACAACTGATTTGATGTTCGCCACAACAATCGAATTCAAATAACATTGTCTGGATCTTATTATCAGCCTTTCGAACTATAATGTTCATACTACAAAGATCACCAAACACAAGGTTTTTACCGTGAAGCAAGTGAATTATCTTTGTGACATCGTTCATGATTATCAAATACTCCTTATCTGTAATTTCAGCATCGCACAATGGCACTCCCTCAATAAGCTCCATCACAATAAACCACCATCCATCAACCACCGTTTTGTTCACATACAGTGGCTTCCAAAAAAAATGCATCACTATACTGCTTATTACTAGTCACATGTTTTACGATCAACAATAAATTTGTTTTAATTTAATATTTTTTAAA